CGAAGAACCTCGGTGGCTCCAAATATAAATGGAGACAACTTTGTGTCTTCCTATGTTATTCGCCGTGACTGCTATGATTTCAACGCTTGATGTTCTATTTTTCTTTAAGGTTATTCATTAATTGTTTTTGCATTTTCGAGTTTTTGGCCTCAGATTCAACAATGGAAGAAAGGAAGTTACCGTCGCCCCGTCCCAAGGTAATTATTCCATAGAATCATACTGGTATATGGTTTTAAAATTTAAAAATTGTTCAAATCTCTTCTAGGAATGATATAAATCCCTTCAGTTTTTCATTTCTCAAATTGGGTATGGTCCTTGGTTGAGCTAAGATGGTGATTTCTATTACAATTGTATTATTTAACAGAGGATGGTGTCGCTCATGCTTGACTCAGAAGGTCCATACAGGCTGCTTTATTGTTCAAGTAAAGGTGATAAAGCTGGAGTAATACCGGAGTTAAAGAAAGGGGTGGAAACTAATCTGGTCAATTATGATAGGAGGACAGCTCTTCACTTAGCAGCTTGTGAAGGGTGCACTGAAGTTGTTCTTCTGCTTCTGGAGAAAGGAGCTGATGTGAACTCCCTTGATCGTTGGGGTCGCACTGTATGTTGAATAGATTGCTGCTGATTGTTAATACATGTTCATTTTGTAAATTTCTTGTTAGCTTGTAGTGTTGATATTATATATTTTGTTTTCTCAACAATTGATCATGTAGCCATTATCAGATGCTCGTAGCTTTGGTCATGAGGAGATATGCAAGATATTGGAATCTCGGGGAGGAATAGATCCGGTAATTTATTACCTTATCAATGTCTTTGTAATTTATGCTTGAGATATGACTTTTGTTGATGATTTGTGTCTAAAAGGTTAATGTTAAACTTTCTCCAGATGCAAATTTTGCATGTAAAATATCCACCTTTAAAAAAGATTAAAAAAAAAAAAAAGGCCTAGACTAAGGAAGTAGAATTTTCTCAAGATCTGTTTCTTGTTCGCAGCGTTCATCCTAATCACTTGATCATGAAATATTATCAAGTTTTTTTCTTAGTGGCATAAGATTATAAAGTTAATAGCTTTCATCAGGGAATTCCCTTTTAAGCATTAACTGTAATTTAGATCACTGTATTTGATGAGTGATTTTGAGTTGGCCAAGATTACATTCTGTTTGTGTACAATAGACACCAGAAGAGTAAATAGCACCATCCTGCCAGTTCTTGTCGAAAAAATGATGGGAAAATTTTAGTGTT